GAAACGGCTCCATTTACTTGCTCAGGGCGTTCAGCCCACCCACGCCTTCGCATCGTTTGAACCTGCAGGCTCCCAAGGAAGAAAGCCCTTCCCACAGCACAGTTCGGGCCTTAGCTCCCCGACACAGAGCTGAGCCCAAGTCCTTCCCCAGCACCATCAGCCCTGCAGCTCTTACCAGCGGGGGGCTGCCCATAGGACGTGGCATACGCAGTCTGCCCATACGTTGCAGTTGTCTGAGGCTGCGTGTAGCTGGCATCGGTGGGCTGTCCGTAAGTCCCGTAGCTCTGCTGCCCGTAGGTCTGCTCCAAAGATGAGAGAGATTTAATTTGTGAGCAGAAACGACTCGCCCGTGTCTCACAGATACACACAGATTGTTTTGGTGCTGCACACAGACTGGGGGGATCTGTGTTACCTGGTTTACTGAAAGCAATCTGAGTCAAGCCAAGGCTACTCTGAAAGATTGGGCGCTACTGCAAATTTCAGTTCAGATCTGTAATGAAGTTACAAATGCAATTTTTCAATGCCAGGACCAGAGGTGCAGCCCCTTACACATTCACAAAACACGTGTGCTCTACGTGAAGAGAAACAGGACAGCATCCAGCTCCTCAAAACTGCCCAGGCACATAGCTACATTCGCAGGCGCCTCCTGAGAGCTAACCTGCAACGCTGGAGTGGGGCTGTCCAGAGTGCAGAGCTGCACGAAGCAAGACATCAGCTACTTCAACTAGCATTCACCAGAAGAAATGTTTCAGCTTTCAGTGAAGTTATTTCGAATATTCTTCACACCCACCAGCCAACATCTGTCAGAACCAGTTTATGTGGGCACCTGAGGATGGGTTCAGCAGGAGCCACGCCGCCCCAGCACCCTGGCATTCAGCGAGGGATCAGCTCTCACCCCACAGCCTGCCCCAAGCCCAGCCCAAAGGAGTGCTGCTGCCTTGCTCAGCCCTGAGCTCAGCTCTGCAAAGCAACCCTTTGGCTGCAGCAGGCGGTGTGAGGAGACTGGATCAGTACAGAGCTGCTGATGCTGTGGTTTTGCCAGCTTAAGAGCCCACAGCCCACTGTCAGTCAGCCTGAACCTCGGGCACCAGCCAGCTGCCAACAGCTGTGTGCTCAGCAGTCAGGTGTGGGGGAAAGCCTAGTTGGAGCTCAAGCAGCACTAAAACAAACCTCAGTGTCCAGATTTTCAGAGAATTAAATGCCTGTGTGACTTCTGAGCCAGCCTCCCTGGCTCATGAGCAGTACAGATCTTAATCAAGCCAACAGATTTCAAAGACAAAAACTTTGATCAGACTGAAATCTCCACTGCCTGTGGAAGCTCACTGCGCCCAGAGGCACGAGATGCTGCAAACCTCATGTGGCAACTTACCTGCTGCTGAGTATGAGCTGTTAGCCTTGCACTAAAGGATGCTGAAGCCTCCTGTTCATATGCCCGCCAGCCTGCTTACACCTCCTGTGCTTGGACCTGTGCTTTCAGCAGCAGTTCTCGCAATTTGTCTCTCTCAACACACTTACTCAAAATGAAAAGTATTGTCATTTTCAATTCAGCTGACCCAGATGTCAAAACTCCCCCTGTAACAGCGATGCCTTTGCAGAGGTATCTGTGCAGCCTCACCTGCCACAGGCTGGCAGCCGTGGGCAGCAGCACAAAGCCCTGTTAGCTCTGCTCTGCAATGCTCCAGCACAACAGCTTTTGTGTGCAGAATACAGAAACGCTTTTGGGTGGCAGGATCTCCCTTTCAAATAAACCACTCTCTAGAGATGCTGGGGAAAGTCAACCAAGTTGACTTCAAAAACCACACTGGTACTTTGCAGATAACTGTGGTTTCAGTAACTTGAATCCTAAGGATTCAAAAAAAAAAACAAAAAAAAAAAAAACCATAACTCATCTTCAAAAGATCACCATCAGTTTGCAGTCCAGCCAACTAACAATACGAATAGCTTTAACTACAACAGCTCCATGAAAAAGAAGGAAATCTATCCTCTCCTCCTAACTTTTCCAACTGCTGCCATCGCACAAAAGGCAATTTCCCCTTCCTTTTTCTCTCTCTCCTACACCACCAAGTAAAACACCCACTGACATGTAAGTGTCAAATGTACACCAAGCAATAGGCTTTTATTCCTCTTGGCAACAACTGGGATATGTTAACAAGGAACGTGGAAGCTCCCGGACATCGAGGCGCTTTAAGCACGCAGCGCAGGCTGTGTGGGAAGCTACAAGACAGCTCCTAATGACAGACTCTGATGCTGCTCAGAGTTTTCCAGGGCTGAAAGATGGCAGCTGGGATCCCAAGAAGGGTCAGAACCCCTGCTATGCTTTACCTGCGTGGTCTGTGCGTATCCTTGGGCTGGCTGAGGTGCGTACGCGCTGTAGCTGCAAAATGAATTTGAAGATATTTACAATGCATCCCAGTGCTCGTGCAATACATGCATCACACAACAGCTTTTTCTACAGCCAAATGCTTTCTGCGTTTGTGTTAAAGTGTTTGAATTGTGAAAGCAGCACATAAACCAAAGGAAAACCAAAGATTTGTAAGGCATACCTGAGCTTAGACTAAACCACAATTACTGCATGCTTACATCACAACTTTTTACAACAGAAGAGTAAGACCATAACGCTACTTACCCCTGCTGAGCTGCAGCTTGGCTATAGGTGCTATAATCTACAAGAAAAAAAAAAAAAAAAAGGAAAGAAAGGTTGACAAAGACTTAACAAAATTAACAGTGTAACGGCACAGCAGCTGGAATTTCCTCCCACAGCTTGAAAGAACTGCTATAAACCCCTGGAAACCTGGTTTCAAAAGAGTAAGGTAAATGGACTTTCTCAACCTTTTTGAAGGAAACGAAACCTCTCTTCCCTTCATTGTTTCTGCTGTCTGCAGCAGCAGCTTTGATCTCGAATGACCCCACTTTAATTTAACTGCCACCTTGGGTAGCACCCAAGGGACTGGTAGAGGGGTTTGGAACAAAAGAAACACAGGGGCTGACACTTACAAAAACCCCGTTTCAAAGGGCCAGGTTGTAAGTCCTTGAGGCTGTAAGAAACACAGCGCTTCACTCCTTCTATTTAACTTTCAAGGACACCAACGCATCACTGGAAACTTCTAACTCTTTTCCCCAGGAGGGTTTGAGACCAGCAGCTGGCAGCAATTCCTTCCCCCAAGTCCCAGCCCATGCCAATACTGTGATTTAGAGGAGAACTGAAATCCAGAAAATCCAACCAGAAAAAAAAAACAACAATCCTCTGCTGAACTGGTTTGCTGCTAGGGATGGAAAATGCATGCAGATGGCAATTACAAGGCTATATTTGAAACGATTACAGCTCCTACGGGCACGCTTTCCCTCCAAGTCACCAAGTGTTTCCAGGTCCCACCTAGAGCAAATGGCAGCAACGACTCCATCCCTAAGACCAAACCTTTCCTGCAGCTCCTCCAGCTCTCCCAGGACCAGAAAGGTCCCAAGGACAGAGATCAGAAACGGGTTCAGACTTCCCTCATAGCATCCTGAGCTGGAATCAGAAACCAAACGTGAGCAGAGCTCTGCTCAGAGCCAGGCAGCCCCACGCAGAAAAAAGTTCTGGCATTTCTGCTGCCACCACACCTTGCGTTAAACTGGTCTCTACTGAAAAAAAAAGAGGACTGCGAGTTTGCAGAGCCTGCCTGAAGACTTCCTACTGCCCTCCATTCTCCCTAGAGCACAACGTTACCGCCTGCCCCCACTGCAACTGACGGAACACCAGGAATCGCGTTAAAAATTCAGTTTTCATCCACCGCAAGCTTTTAGTAAACCACGGGATGGGTCGGAAGGAACCTGAAGCACAGCTCAGCCACAAGCCTGGGCTGCTGTCCCCAGAAGCTCAGGCTGCCCAGCGCCCACCCGCGTAACGGAGCCGCACCGCGGATGGAGCGCACGCAGCTCCGCACACCTCCAGCACCTCGCCGCCCTCCCAGCACACAATTCCTTCATAACTGCCCGCCCAATCCTCCGTTATTTGACCCTAAAGCCTCCCACCCGCACGCAGCCCCAACGACCGTTCGTTCCCACGGCCGGGAGCGGCTCCGAGGCCCTCGCCGCGACACACAGAGCGCAGCAGAGGCCTCGCACCGCCTTCTGAGCGCCGCAAACCCTCCGGCCCCGCAGCGGGACGGGACGGCCCGACACCCGCGCACACCGCGCCGAGGCCCGACAGGCCCGCCTGACCGCAGCGCTGAAGGCCCAACGCCCCCCGCACGGCTCGGGATGCCCTCAGGCCGAGGTGCTCGACAGCGGCTCAAGGCCCGAACCGCGACCCCGCGGCCCGGCCGCCCGCCTTGTGCAGCTCATCGACCCGCACCGCCCCGCTCACCCGTCGACGCCATTTTCTCTCCTTCCTCCTCCGCGCTCCCAACGTCCGGCCGCCGCGGCCGCCACGCGCTGCGCATGCGCGGCCCCGCCCGGCGGGACGTACCACTGCGGGGAGGCGGCGTGGGGGGGGAGGGCAGAGAGAAGAGGTGATTCGACTTCGGCGGCGGGGGGCGCTGTGGTGGGTGGAGCACTGGGCTTCCCCCCCCCGCGCTAAGCAGCGGGTGGTGCGGCCCGCCGCCGTTACGGAGCGTCGCGCAAGGGCGGTGCGAGGGGAGAGGCGTGGCTTTAAGGAGGAGTGGCTTCAAGGAGGCGTAGCCAGTGAGTGACGTCACGTCAGTTGGCGGGATCGGGGAAGCCGCGGTGTCACACGTGGCGTGGGGCGGCGGGGCTGCTCCGCTCCGGGTCCTGCTGCAAGTGGGGGTCCCAGTGGTGACGTGGCACTGCGTGGGTATCCCACTGGTGGCATGTTGTGGGTGGGTGTCCCATAGGTGTGGGTCGCTATTGGTTGTCCCAGGAGTGTCATGGGGTGCTGTGGGTATCCAGTGTCCCATAGGTGTTATGGAATAGCATGGGTCCTCCCCCTTCCCACCCCCCCAGTGCCACCCACCCGTGTCCCCACTCATACCAACAATGACACACAGCTCTGGGGACACCTTTAATGCCCAGGTAGTGCCAGGACAGCGTGCAGGATGCAGCCCCCCAAGCATTGGGGTGGCCGTACCCCCCAAAACTGGGGTGTAGAGCAGCAGGGCCAAAGCTGGGGGGGTCCGACCGGTGCAATGCCACCGGGTAGCACCAGGACCTCCATGTACACAGCGGGGACACAGCAGGGCTGCACTCTTAGGGCTGGCCAGGGAGAGCCTGGTGAGTGGGGGGCGAGCGGCCACGCTTGGCACGGGGGGTGCTGGGTGCTGGTGGGCCCCCAGGGCCACTGCCTGAGCCAGGCTCTGGTTCTGTGGGAGGAAAGGAGAGAGCTCTGAGGCCATGGGGTGTGGGGTGCCATAGCCTCAAGTGGTCTTCAGGGACCCCTGTATCACCGTGGGATCCCCAGGCCATCAGGTCCCACGGGTGTCCCCAAGGATCCCTGTGCCCCCAGGGGGTGCTGACCTCTGTGGGGTCCCCAGACCACCTTCACCCTTCACCCCCATGAAGTGTCCTGACACTGGGACATCCCTGTCACCACAAGGTCCCTGCACACCTTGTCCCCATCACCATGAGGCCCCCCACAAAGGTTCTTTGGACAAGTTTCTCCCATTGTGGCTGTCCCAAGCTGTCCCCAAGTACAACCAACTACATGGACACCTCCCACTGTGTGGGGGCAGAAGGGGACAGCTGGCCCTGGGTGTGCCCCCAGATCCCCTCACAGTGTCCCCTCAGCACCACCACCCCAGCACGATCCCCATGCCCCAAAGGATGAGGAGCCCCTCCTGGCACCCCCGGCTGGCACGCGGGGATGGGGACAGAACCCCTGCAGCAAAGCGCAGCTGGAAAGGGGAGACAGCGGGAGGGGGAGGGGGCAGCTGGCTATGGAGTCAGCCACAGTGCGAGGGGGGGCTGGGGCTCCTCCAGGGTCTCCCTTCGGCTTCAGGATGTTCCTGGGAGCTCCATGGTCTGCATGACCATGACCCGGGAGCTCCCAGGTGTCCCTTGGACCATGGAGCCATGCTGTGTCCCTCTCCCAAGAGAGCCTCCAGGGACTCCCTTGGTTTGATACGGACACCAGGTGGATCTCTTGCACCAAGAGGAGCTCCAGTGCCTCCCTCAACCCTTGGAGAATAACCTTGATCCCTGGGGGATCTCCAGGGCCTCTCTCAACTCAGGAGGCTCTTCATGGTCTTCCTTGGTCCAAGAGGGACTCTAGAGTCTCCCTTTGACCCAAGAGGAGCTCCAAGTTCCCCTTTGATCCTTGAGGATCTCCAAGGTCTCCCTTGGTCCAAGAGGGTCTCCATGGCATCCCTTGGTCAAAGAGTTGCTCCATGGTCTCCCTTGTTCCTTGGGGGTCCCTCAATCCTTGGAGCAACCCCTCGGTCCTTGGACATCTCCAAGGCCTCCCTCAACCCGGGAGGGTCCCCTTGGTGCAATAGAGGTTCTCTACCATCTCTCTTGGTCCATGAACATCTCCATGGCCCTCCATGATCCTTGGACATCTCCTCAGCCCAACAGGCTCTCCTTGCTTCATGATCTCCCTCTCTCCTAAGGGTGACTCTGGGGTCCCTCTCGGTCCCTCCCCTTGCTCCAGGCCCGCTGCTGGGGGGACATTGTGCCTGGCTGACGCGGAGGGGAGCAAGCGGCGATGCGGTTACCTGGCCAGATGATGGCTTCCAGGAGGGTGACCCTTCTAGCCAGGACCTCCAGGCGGGCCTGCTGCCGCAGCAGGGCTTGGAAGCTACTGGCCTGGTGGAGAGTGAGAGAGCAGAGCAGAGCGTGGTTGCCCCAAGGCACAGCGCGGGCGCAGCCGGGCCGGGGGTGCGGTGCAAGCGTTGGGGGTGCCAGGTCTCCCAAATGGGTGCAGGGGGCTCCCGTGGTCCCAGGGGGATGCGAGGGACTCTCCTGTCCCCATGGGTCCAGGGAAGTGGGACTCGCAGGGGAGTGCCACCCCTGGCATGGGGTGGGGGGACACAAATGTCCCCATGGGGCTGAGGGAGGGGGGCACCTGCTGCTCCCCATAATGGAGCCTCATCATGGATGGAGGGACCCCTGTGCCCCCCCACGGCTGGCTCCTGCGCTCCCCCTACTCACCATAGAGCCCAATCATTGTTTCCAAGATTAAAACCCTCTCTGCTAAAATCTTCAAAGCCTCGCGGAGCTGGTGTAAACCCTCCCCCTGAGGAGGGAAGAGAGGAGTCGGGGGGGAGCCAGGGGCACCCCCAGCCCCACCGCCATGCTCTGTGCCCCAGTACTGCATGCAAAACCCCAGGAATGTGGGGGGCAGCGGGTAGGGGGGGTGCTGGCCACACCATGGAGTGGGGGAACAAGCACAACTGAGGACCCCCACAACCGAGCCACCCAGAGACAAGCACTGGGCACATTTGGAGACCCCCATGCCACCCCTGAGGTCTCAGGGACAAGGTGCAGCTGGGGACCCCCATAATATTATGGGGATGCCAGGGGCACCAGGTGAGTGCTGTGCACATTCGGGGACCCTCATGCTGTTCTTGGGGTCCCGAGGACAAGACATGCACTTGTATACTTAGGGACCCCCGTCCCATCCCTGGGACCCCAGGCACACGATGAGCATTGCTCACAGCTTGGGACCCCCATGCTGCCGTCGGGGTCACAGTGACATGACATAGGAGCATTCGGGTACCTGCATGCCACCCCTGTCCCCATACCTCCCATCACTCACCCATGTGCCCTTGTCGCCCGGCTCGCCCTTGGGGCCCGGCTCGCCCTGAAACACAGAAAGGAGAAGGACAGGGCAGAGGGGGCGGGCAGGGGGCCCACCTTCGCCCCAGCACAGCCCCCATTCCTGGGGAGGCCCACGTACCTGTGCCCCATCCTGCCCACGGCTGCCTGGCTCTCCCTTGGGGCCCTGGAGGGAGCAGATCACGTCAGCACTGAGGGCTGCATATGGGGTAGAGGCACCCATGGGTGCTCCTGCCCCCAAGGCTCAGTGCTGGCTGAGCCCCCCAGCTCATCACACTCACCCTGTCGCCTTTGTCTCCCCTGGGACCGGCAGCTCCAGGTGCCCCAGCTCTCCCCTGTGCAGTGACAGTGACAGTGCTATCAGCACTGGGGGTGTGCCCCACGGAATGCCCCCCCAGCCCAAAATGCTCCCGGACTTACATCAGGCCCTGGGGGGCCGGGCAGCCCCATGGGTCCTGGGGGGCCGGGGGGTCCTGCGAGGAGAATGAGGGGACAAGCTCAGCACAGTGCCCTCTCAGAGCTGCTGTTTGGAGGGGGAAGATGGGGGGTGAACTCACCCATTGGCCCCATGGGTCCGGGGGGGCCAGCGGGCCCCACGATGCCCCCAGCCGCTTCAGTGAAGGTGTTGGAGAGGAGCGGGTCCCCTGCAGGAGAGGTGAGGGTAGGCAATGACCCCCCAGCTCTGGAAGGGTTCAGCTGCTTGCTGGGGCTCAGCCCCACCTCCACTCCCCAGAACCCTCAGCCCCATCCTTACTTGGGTCAGTCAGCCAGGGTACAGCTGGCCCCACAGGAGCAGGAGGCCCAGGGGGGCCGGGGGGGCCGGGTGACCCCTTCTCTCCAGGGAGACCCCTGGCTCCATCGTGGCCAGGGGGACCGGGGGGACCTGGGGGACCTGCAGGGAGGAAGATGGGGGTGAAGATTGATGGGGGTTAACAAACTGGGGAGACTAAGAGGGCATATCCTTACCTGGGGGTCCCGATGGACCCTTCACCCCGGGAATGCCTGAGGGTCCCCGTCCACCTGCATCACCCTTGGGACCAGAGGGGCCGGGGGGTCTCCGTGAACCAGGTCTGCCTGCAGGGAGCAGCATCCTCAGGGGGGGATCTTTTCTCCAGCGCTGGGGGCTGCCACTGATGCCACTGGTTGCTGCGGGCTATGGGACAGCCACCCCCCCTTACCTTTGTCCCCTGGGCTCCCCTGTGCAGCTGGGGACCCCCAGAGCTGCCTGGTATCAGGACCCCTACCCAAGCTGTCACCTTTGGGTGTTGGGGATGTGGGAGCTTCTGCCACTGAGAGCCGGGCCACCTGCGGATGAGACAATGCTGGGGAGTGTGAGATGCCTCCCCTGGTCCCCGTGTCCATGGAGGGGTGGCAGGGGATGGGGGTCACCTGTGCCTCGAGGGTGGCCAGGCGTGCTGACAGCTCCCCGATGTGGCTGCAGTTCAGGCACCCTGCAGGGGACAGTGCAGGGCTTGGGGTGCGCCCAGGACCTCGGGATATTTTTGGGGGTGGGGGGCACCGAGGAGCTGAACCCACCTGAGAAAGCTGTGGGGCGCAGGGGAGAGCGACGTGGGGCGGTGCTGGGGCGTGCAGCATCACGCAGAGCGAGGAAGGTGTGGGGCTCTGTGAGGGGAGAGGGTGTCAGGACCCCCCTGAGCATCACTGCTGGTGGGAGAACTCGCTCACCAGGGTGGTGCTTCACCCCAAATTGGGGAGGGGGATGGAGGCAGTTCTGCTGCTTTCTGCCCCATCCTTGCTGCTGGTGAGCCCCAAACCTATTCATGACTGTTGGTCAGACCCCCCCCCCCCCAAACCCACCACAGCCCTGAATCAGATTCCCCTTGAACCCATGATGGCCTGCCAGAATCCCTCCCACCCCCCAAATCCCACCCATGGCCAAGAGCCAGAGCCTCCACACCCACCCACCCATTATGGCACTCCAGATGCCCTCAGTCTATTCCATAACCCTGAGCCAGATTCCCCCAAACCCACCCATGCCCACGAGCCAGATCTTCCCAATCCCAGTGATGGTCCTGAACCAGTGCCCCCCCTGCTCCCCATCCCTAGCCCCCGACACCCCAAGCCAGCTCTCTCCATCCCCAGCTCAGGAGGACTACAATGCGGGGTCCCACTAAGGGGATGTGAGAACACGACCCAACGCAGAAGGGGCCGGAGCAGATCTTGTGTCACTGAGCCCCCCCACGCTGTCACCACACCCTGGCACAGCCACCACCAAGGCTGCTGGGGACAGCCAGAGCAGCCCTAAGCAGGCCCAGATGTGGGGCACTCAGCCAATGCATGGCGAGGAGGAGGAGGAGGGGAGAGCTGAAGCACGCACAGAGGAGGAGGAGGAGAAGAGCCCCTGCCACTGCTGTGCTGCTGCCACTCAGCTGGCCCCACACTCTGGGGGTGGGCTGGGAATGTGTAGCCCCCGCCAGCTAACAGAGGCTGGCAGCTGCCAAGAGCCATGCGTGGCACAGGCTGGCACCCATTCATTCACTGCACACAGGCGCAGCTGCCTGGCTGCACACAGGGACAGACAGACAGGCAGGCAGGCAGGCAGACAGACAGACAGCCCCTTATGGGCGCATCCACCCACCCACAGGAATGTCCATCCATCCATCCCCCACCGACACCCCACCCGCCTGCTTTTCCGTCTATCTGTCCATGGAAACTGCTGTCCAACCATCCATCTGCCCACCCACCCGCTCAGAGGAACGTCCACCCATATGCCCACCTCCTCAGCCACCCAGCAGAGCGTCTCTCCAGCTGCCCACCCACACGGAACATCCAACCAGCTATCCACTGATCCGTTCCTGCATCCATGGTTGGAAACCCAACCATTTATTTGCCAGCCCACTCATCAACCCGTCCATCTGCACGCAGGAACATCTATCTGTCCATCTGTTCATCCATCCATCCGTCCATTCAGCCAGCTGTCCATCACTCCATCCACTTACGTACCCACAGGAGCATCCATCCACTCACCTAGAGGAACAGCCATCCGTCTGTTCGTCCATCCATCTGTCCATCCATCCATTCACTTACCCATCTACAGGAACACCAATCTGTCCACCCATCCATCCATCCATCCATCCATCCATCCATCCCTCCCTCCTTCCCTCCCTCCATCCCTTCCTTCATCCATCCCTTCCTTCATCCCTCCCACCATCCATCCCTCCCTCTTCCATCTGTTCCTCCATCCATCCATGCATCCAACCACGCATCAATCCATCCATCCGTCCCTCCACCCCCCACCCCCCATAGCTCCATCTGCCCCTCTCTGACGGAGTACAGAGGTGCCCAGGGTACGCAGAGCCCACCCTCCACCCCACGCTGCTCCCACCTTCCTCACAGTTGGCCCCACTGTGCCCAGGGCAGCACTTCCACTCCAGCGCCGTCAGCGTCCTGTAGGCCACTCGATACGCGGGCCGGATGACGGTGCGATAGCTGCTGGCACAGATTGGGCACCGATGTCACCCCCGTGCCACCACCCCATGGCTGCAGCTCCTGGTGCCCACTGGGGTCTCACCTGCCCCCTCCGCAGCCCGGCGGCCAGCGGCAGCCCTGGAAGACACGCTGCAGGGAGGTGCCATTCTGCACCAGGCACGTCACCGTCCTCGTCACCGTGTAGGAGCACCAATTGCTGCAAGAGAAGCCACCGGTGCCACCGCGGGGGTCCCACTCTGCATCCCCAGAACACCCTGTGTTACACTGGGACCCGGTGGGAGATTTGTCCTTTGATGTCCCCAGGGTGGTACCCGTCCTCACCCCTCCTCGTGGAGATGCCACCCCAGCTTTTAGATGGATGTCCCCCAGCATGGTGTCCCCACATGGGCTCCACCATGGCCGCTGCCCACCACCGGCCCTGTTGTCCCCACACTGGCTGTGTCTGGTGGTATGAGTGCCATCCATGTCACCGGGGGAAATTGGTTCCCAAGTGCCCCGTAGGGGAGATCTGGGACCTCCTATAGGACCTATAGGAATGAACCAAGTCCCGCAGTGACCCCCAGTTGCCTCATAGGACAGAACCAAACCCCCCAAGTGCCCTGTAGGGGAATCCTGGGACTCACCAATGCCTGACAAGTGACCCATGGGGAGGAGATAGGACCTCCAAGTGCCCTCTAGATGCCCCAAAGGAGAGAGCTGGGATCCCAAGGTGTCCCCAAATGTCCCATAGGACAGAACCGAGCTCCACAAGTGCCCAATAGCAGAGAGCTGAAGCCTCCCCGCTGGCCAATAGGGCAGACCCAAGCCCCCGTGGAGATGTGTGCCATCCTCCTCGCCTGCGCAGCCACGATTTGGGTGGAAAGAGGAGCTTTTTGTGCCTGCGGGGAAGGAGGTGGCTGCGGCTGGTGGCGGGGGGGGAACAATTGTGTGGGATGCGCCGGGGGGACGCAGCGGGGCGGCGCAGGGCTTTGTGGCTGGGCAGCATCCCAGCTGCACACTGAGCTCTCTGACAAAACCACTGCATGGTGACACCTCCGGGGTGACAAACACCACCGGGCGGAGTGATGGGGATGGCTGGGGGGGCCCGACTGCCCCCAGCACTGCGCCTCCCAAGGGTGTCTCCTGCTCCCAGTGCTGGCATGGGTTGGGGATGATGCCAACCCCGGAGGTGCCATAGGGATAAGGATGTGCCCCAGCCCGTTCTGGCTGGCAGGGAAGTTGGGGCTGGTGCCAGCAATGAGGGAACCCCCCCAGCTCAGGGCAAGAGCCAGCAGTGAGGCGTGTGGGTGCTCGCACGGCCTCGGCTCACCCAGCCCACCCGCTGCGGGGCCATTCGTGCACTGAGCGTGCCCGGGCTCTGCTCTGGGCCTGGTACCTTCCCCCAGCTTTGTGCCCCTCTCTGGGTGTGTGGGACCCATGGGTGGGTCTCGGGTCAGGCAACGGGGTCTGCCTGAACTAGGCCAGGAGGGGAAGGGGAAATGAGGCAGCTTCTGCCCGTCACTGTGCCGAGCTGAGCGGAACCGGGAGGTCCCGGCAATCCGGTGCTGGAGACACCGCCAGCGCCAAAGATTTCCTGTAAACAACCCCCAGCAGGACAGGGACCGTAGGGACAGACAGGGACTGCAGCCCCCAGCAGCCAGGCGCTGGGTTCCATTGTCCCCGCTGCTTCCCGGGCACAGGCAGAGCCATGGGGATGGGGCCAGGCAGCCCCCAGCCACGAGGACCCCCAGTGACCCCAGTAACCCCCAGCTGTTCCAGAATGCTACGGCACCTTTGCACCCAGGTGGCTGCTCACCCCAGCAGCGATGCCAGCCTCGCTGAGCCCTGCCAGCCCTGGAGACCCTCCGGCACCCCACAGCCTTTCCATTCCCGGCAAACCCAGAGCCCCATTCTGAACCAAGCAGCCCCTCCCCGGCGTCCCCAGTGTTCCTGCATCCCCCCAGTGTTGGCACCCCCTGGTGTCCAGCATCCGGTCCCATGCAATGCCCATTCCCCCTGACGCCCAGAGCCCCCTGGTGCTACATCCCCGTGTCTGGCACTCAGACCCCCATAGCACTCCTCCTCCCTGCTCCCCCCCGGTGCTGGCACCCCCGGTGCCTGATCCCCAATCCCCATTTCTGCCGGTACCACCAGCACCCAGTGCTCGCTGCCCTCCGGTGCCGGTGCCCCAGTGCCCGGCACCAAGACTCCCCCAGCACACAGTGCTCCCCATCCGCGCTCCCCACAGCACCCCATTCCCTGTAACCCTTCGCCCCAAGCCCGGTGTCCCCATCTCCCCATCGGCCCCCGTGCTTGCTGCCCTGCCGGTGCCTTCCCTCCCCCCCCGGCGCCGGTACCTGCGGGGCTGCACGCTCCAGGAGCCGGCAGCGGGCGGCAGCAGCAGGCAGCAGCACAACCCCATCGCCAGAGGCAGGGGCGGGCAGCGGTGCCCCCCCCGGGAGAGGCCCTCCATGCTCCGTTCCGCTCCGCTCGGCTCCGCTCGGCTCGACGGGGCACCGGGGGCCGCGCTCCGCGCGCGGGGAGGAGCGAAGGGGAAGGGATGGAGGATGGAGGGGGAGGAGGAAGGGACCCCCCCACCCCTCCCCAACACGCACACACACCCCGCTGCCTTCCGCCTCGGAGGGGGAGCGATGTGGGGGGGCTGCTCCTGGGGGGTCGGGGGGCAGAATGGGAATGGGAGTGGGGGGATATGGCTGGGGGGGACGTGGATAAAGGGGCCATGGATATGAGAGCGTGGGTATGGGGCACATGGTTATGGGGGCACATACTGGGGACATGGATATGGGGAATATGGATGGGGACATGGGTATGGGAGCATGGATATGGGGGATAGAGAAGGGGGAACGTGGATGTGGGGGACATGGATATGGAGACAAGGATGGGGACATGGATATGGGGACATGGATTGGGGACATATGGATGAGGGAACATGGATATGGGAGCATGGGTATGGGGGACATGGATGAGGGGATATGGAGGGGGACATGGATAAAGGGGATGTGGATATAGGAGCATGGATCTGGGGTCATGGATCATGGGGAGGGGGACATGGATATGGAAGGACAAGGATATGGGGATATGGAGGCATGGGTGGGGGGGACATGGATATGGGGGATATGGATGGGTGGACACCTATCGGGACATGGTTATGGAGAGACACAGATATGGAAACATGGATATGGAGGCATGGGTGGGAGGATATGACCGGGGGACGTGGATATGGGAGCGTGGATTTGGGGGACACGGATATGGGAGCAGGGGCATGGGGCACATGTGTATGGGGGACGCATACTGGGGACATGGATATGAGGGATATGGATGGGAGGACATGGATATGGGGGCATAGATGGGGAGCTGTGGATATGGGGGACATGGATCGGAGAGATGTCATGCATTGGGGGTGTCACAGATTAGGGGCTGTCATGGGTTGGGCAGTGGTGGTTTTGGGGTGTTGGAGCAGTGGGGGCAGCTGTGGGGCAGGAGGAGGCCCTCAACCCCATACAGTGTGAATGGGGGTGTCCCTAGGTGGGAACAGCTTCATGGTTCTCAGTGTGGGGTGCACACACGTATGTATACACATATGTGCACACGTGCTCGTGTTTCTTCATGTCTGCTGTTTTGTGTGTGCATTTGTGCCTGTCCCCATGTCCCCACGCACAGCTCCCTGTGCCCATCCATCCAGCAGGGATGGCAGCTCGGGATGTCACACGTGCACACGTGCCTGTGCACTCGGTGGTGGCAGCGTGTGTGTGTGTGTGTGTGCTACCCTGGGCTGCGTGCATCCGAGTGTTTGTGCTGCTCTGCTTGTGCTTCCGGCTGCTGTTTGCAAATAATGTGCGTGTGGTCTGCGTGCCGGCGGCGTGCAAAGAGCAAATGTGTGCGGGTGGTCCCTGCTGGGGGGGGTGGGGGTGGGTGGGGGGTCCTGCAGGCGGCGTGCGTGTGAGCACATGTGTGTGTGTGTGTGCACAGGGATGTGCATGTATGTGTGCATGTATGTGTGCGTGCATCTGTGGCTGTGCATGTACGTGTATGCATGTGTGTGCGTGCACGTGTGTGCATGAAGCTGTAGGTGCACGCGTTTGCACATGCATGTGTGCACGCATGTACGTGTGTGTGCAGAGGGGATGTGTCCTCCTAGAGGCAGTAGGGAGTCCTGGCCCCTTTGTAGTGTGGAGCATGGTCCCCCTATGTCGCCCCCCCCCCCCCGCAGGCAGTCCTGCTCCCTGACCTGGCTCTAGCTCCCCATGCCATGGTCCCATCTCACGTCTGTGTCCCCATGCCATGTCCCATGTCCAGATCCCTGCTCTGGCTTCAGGTCCCATTGCCATGCCCCTGTTCCTGCTCTATGCCCCCGAACATGTCCCATCTCCATCTCATCCTGCCATGTTCCTGTCCCAGCTCCATGTCCTCATGCCATGTCCCAGCTTCACGTCCCCATGTTGCATCCCAGCTCCATGTTGCCATGTCACGTCCTGTTCCACATCCTCATGCCATATCTGAGCACAACACCATCCACATTCCTGTCCCAACCTCACGTCCCCCTGCCATATCCCTGTTTCAGCTGCTCCACGTCCCCATGTCACAGCCCAGCTCTACGTCCCCCTGCCGTGTTCCTGTCCCAGCTCACATCTCCTGGTTCCAAATTCTCATGCCATATCTGAGCTCAACATCACCCATGTTCCTGTCCCCAGCTTCACGTCTCCCCATGCCATGTTCCTGCCCCAGCTTCACATCCCCGTGTCACACCCCAGCTCCGTGTCCTCATGCCATGTCCCAGCTCAACATCCCCATGCCATGTTCCAGCTCCATGACCCCGTGCCCCCAGCTCCACCACCCCATGTACCCCATCTCCACGTCCCCACACACCATCTCCGTGCCCCCACGTCCCGCCCCATCTCCATGTTCCCAAATCTCATCCCAGCATCACGTCCCCACGCCACGTCCCCGCTCCATTTTCACACCCCACTCCACATCCCAACCTCACATCCCCACGCCGTTACCCCACGAAGGACCGGCACCAGAACCGCCGCGCTCCGCGGCTCTCCCCGCTCTGCCGGTCCCACGGGAGATCCTCGAGGGGGAGGGAAGCGATGCCGTGCCCGAGACCACCGGAGCGCACGCGTGGCCGCCTCTCGCGTGGGAGCCCCCGGCCGAGGTCTCAGCGTGCGCCCGCATCCCCCCCGCCGCGCGTCTCCGCCGCGCGTCCCCGCGTCCCCGCGTGCCCGTGGCTGCCAGGCGCTGGCGGAGCTCTGCCGCCTCCTGGCCCCGCGCCCGCCGCCCTCCGCCGCCGCTCCCGGTGCCGCCGTTGCTGCGGGGCCGCTGCGGCTGCGGCCGCCGAAGGTAGCGGAGCGGGGCGGGGGCGATGCGGGGCGGCGGCGGCCATGGTGGGGAAGCGGAGGGGGGCGGCGGGCACCGGGGGTACCGCGCACACGGGAGGGGCACCGCGCACCGGGGGTAACGCGCAGAGGGAATGTTGTGGCTGGAATTTCGTGCGCCGGGGACGGGGAAAGGGGGGGGGGACACCGTGCGGCGGGGGGGTCCGCGCTGGGGGCTGTCGTGGAGTGGAAATATCGCGCAGCGGGGGTACGGCGTGCTGGGGGCACCGGGGGATGGGCCTGGCTTCGCATGCAGTGCGATGGACGGGGGACTGAAGGGGGGAGCAGAATGGGGAGGGGGGTGGCGCTGGGTTTTGTCCTGAGGTTTGGGCCCCTCTGGTTGCTGCGGTGCTGGGGGTGCCGGATGAGTGCACGGATGCACACGCCTGTGTGTGTGTGTGTGTGTGCGCGTCTGTGTGTCTGTGTGTCTGTGTGTCTGTGTGTCTACGACTGTTTGTTGTCACGCTGCTGTGTGGCCCTATGTGCGTCTGTCTGTCTGTCCATCCGTCTGCACAGGTCCCCGTGCTGTTTGTGTCCCCAGTGCCAGCACACGGCTCTGTGTCCGTCTGTCTGTCTGTAGCTTGCTGTCTGTCCGTGCAGCCTAACCCTCCCCATCCCATGCGAGGGGGCCGTGAGGCTGTGTTGGTGGGCAAGGAGCTGCCCAGGGTGTGCGGGGGGCCCGGGGCACGCCGCCCAGGCTGACTCCATCCTGATGCCTGCAGTGCAGATCATAAATCAGTGCCGGATGAGCAGGAGGGCCGCGGGCTCCCGGGCACACAGCCGGCTTCTGTGGGGCTTATATGTTTTTTAAGCCCCCTCCCCAAGCCTTGAGAACAATTGCCCCCACGCTGCTTGTCCCTGCTGTCCCCTTCCCTGCTGTCACACCTGAGGCTGGCAGCCTGCCACGCTGTCTGGCTGTGGGTACATGGGGCGAAAGGGACGGTCCCCAAGGTGCCACCAGGGAGGGCAGGGATGCAGCACTGCGTGGCAGCACTCAGAGCCACCTCGGCTGTGACTGAGTGGTGCTGTGGCCTTGCTTTGCAGGTGACGCCCTGGGAGCCTTGGAGCAACCGGTGACATCGGCTGGGACAGAAGGGGAAAGAAGAGGAGGGAGTGTCTGGGGGTGTCCTGTCCCAGCTGAGCCTGGGGACACTGAGATGTGCCAGCGCTGCAGGGAGGACAGCATCTCCAGCTCCAGCTCCAGCTCAACACCACCCATGCAGAGCCCGGTTCCCGGTGCCAAGTGATGGCTCACCCCAGCCTGCCCTGCTGGTGGCCCCGGTGGAGCAGAACCGGGTGCTGGGGGGCTCTGGGTGCCACCTCCCACCCCTGCTGAGCTCTGCAGCGGGGACAGGGACGTTCCACCCCGCGGGTGCCACCGAGCCGTCTGTCCCTCAGCCATGGCACGGCGCTGAGCTGCTGTCCCCAGCCATGGCACGGCAGGGCACGGGGGCCCTTTTGGGCTCTGGGACTTTGGGGTTCCCACCCCAAAACCTGGCCCGTGTGGTGGTCTGGGAGTGGCTGAATGAGCACGGGCGCTGGCGGCCCTACTCAGCCGCTGTCTGCCACCACATTGAGAACGTGCTGAAGGAGGATGCCCGTGGCAGCGTGGTGCTGGGCCAGGTGGACGTGCAGCTGGCACCCTACATCATCGACCTGCAGTCCATGCACCAGTTCCGGCAGGACACGGGTAAGGGCAGGGGGCTCGGTGCGCACACGACTGGCCAGGGGTCTACTGGGGGTGGAGTGGCTGGGTACGTCTGCCCCTTCTGTGAGCCTTTGTTGGAGGGCCTTCAGCGCTCCTCTTCCTTCTTCTGCAGTCTTTTGTTCCTCTGCCCATCCGTCAGCCATTCCATAGCATGGCTTTGTGTCTTTGTATCCTTCCTGTGCCCCTGCTTCATTGCTTTATTCCTTTGTTACTCCCTTCCTTTGTCCCTCCGTCCCTCCCTCCATCTTTCCATCCCTCCCTCCATCCCTCCATCCACCCACCCATCTGTCCATCACAGTGTGCATATATCTGCTGTGTGTCATTCTACTTCTATTACCCACCATTCCACCCATCCCAATGAGTAATTGT